ACCATTCTCCCTCCTGCAGACTCGATAAACTTGACGTAAGTGGCTGCAATTAATTGACTTCCGAATTTTGTGACATTTCGATCCGTTTCTTGAGCGAGCACACCTTCAGTGAAGCAAAAATAGGAAACAATAACCGGAGAATCGTCCATTGTCCTTTTGGCATTCCTGCGATCGCTACGTATACAATTAATATGCTCGACCTGCTAACTGTTTTTTATTTCATTTGCCTCAAAAGATAGTGTTCGCTGTACATTTCTACATTTCTGGGAAAACACCCTCACAAATTTTTAGTAAGGTTGTCTTTCAGAAGCGTTTTATTCGTGAATTCATGAGGCCAAATCGCAGTTTTTAGTTCTGTTTCTAAACCAGGAGTAGAAAATAATTATAGTTCACTGCTTGACCAAGCAAGACTTGGCAAGACAGTGAAACTACTATGAAAATAAGAGACCTTTTCTTATGACGAGAACACTTCCACTGGTATGTTATTATTCTGTAATGTTTACTTACTCACATACCAATAATTGGACGAGAGTTAATTGTCCTCCTGTTATCACTGCGATGTAGGGTCGGGAACAGGTTAGAAGGTAGGTGGAAGTGGCCGGAAATAAATATAAAAAAATTGACAGTTAAAATGTAGGAGAGATGGACAAATGCTTGAAAACCTTAAAGGACGAAGGAGAAATTTGAGTCAAATCAGGAAAAATAAGATTTTGAATCACTGTACCTGCTTTTTCCTCGTCCATTTTTATGGAGTGCTGCGAATGTATCAAATTCCACGGCTAAAGAAATCTGCGCCACAGTAAGCAAAAATGTAACTTTCGTTATTTTTTCCTGTCTCATATTTCCTCTTTTGATTGTCTTGAATCACTAAACTGATTCTCCGTCAAGCTGGTCAGTAATAGATTGGTGTTTACTCTACAGGCTTCCTGACCTTAGGCCAGGTTAAGGACCCTACTTGGTGGTATTTATTTGAAAAGAAATTTGATAGGGTGTCGCTTTGTCATGGCCAATCAGCGTTGCGGGTGTCTTGCGGGTGTTCTCACCCTGAGTATCTCAGGAGGGTCGTTAAATTAATCAGGATTTTACTACAGGGTAGCCTTTTAAACAGTAAAACAAGAGATTTTACTACAGGGTAGCCTTTTAAACAGTAAAACAAGAGATTTTACTACAGGGTAGCCTTTTAAACAGTAAAACAAGAGATTTTACTACAGGGTAGCCTTTTAAA